AAGTCTTAATGCTGTCACTGGACTTGTGTCTAATTCACAAAGGTAGAGAGGCAGCTACTCTTGGTTTGTAGGCCCCACGGATCCTACGGATTGGCTGTCCCTGGCCTGCAGCTGATATTAAAATGACTAAGTGGAATTACATGGACAAGCCAAAGAACTGGAGTGACCTCAAGATAAGAGAAGGCCAAACCTTATTTTCACCCGGCAGAGGCTCGATTCCAGTTATTTTCCTTCCGACTCGATTTCGTCCTCTGGTGGACCGCACATGTATTTGCGTGTGATACTTCAAATGCTAAGGAAAAAATAAATTACAGAGAGAAGCTTAATTTGTACACATCTGGGAGTTCAGGAGAAAAAGCTCCCGTGTGGTTTGGCCCAAACTGGGTTGGGACACAGAGGTAGTTTGAGGAAAAAGCAGAAGGGGGTTCTGGGGGGTGCTGGAAAAAATAGTTCTAGGTAGTAGATGGTACTTGCTTCACAGAAGCGGTATGAAGCCAAGACAAAAATTCCATTGGCTGGTTCCCTGATGCAAAACGCACAGCATAAACCAATGGTAACGAACGCTAACCTCTGTGTCATAGAAGATGCACCGGCCATCGTAGGTGCCAATCACGGCGTATTTGCCATTTTGGCAAAAGTTAGCGGCTGTGATCAGCTTGGTCTGCCCGTCCACTTCATTCCACAGTGCCACTTTTTTGTCAGGAATGTTCCAAAGTCGGAGCTTCCCATCCAAGGAACCACTCAAGAAGTATCTGTCATCCTAAAATAGGGCAGATGACACCAAAAGGAACAGAGTTAACAGCAATACTCTGGGATCTACCTGCCCACAGGGGCTCCCATCAGAAATGGAAGGTGAGGTCAGAGATCAGCATGTACTCTATGTCTGACAAATGCACACAAAAGATCACATCCTTAGACTCCCAGCTCTTTTTGTCACAGAGAACATTGTGGCTGCAGGAAGACAATGCCTAGGAGCTGGCTGTACAATAAATGTGCTCTAGTGCATGCCTGACGCATGTGATCTGCAACAGAGATCCTACTTAATTTAATAACTGCAGCATCTTGCTGACTGTGTTCCTGCACGTGCACATCTCTTCTGTTCAATCCATATTTAAGATTCAAAACTAGGTTAAAATCCAGGTGTCACTTACCCTCGGATGGAATGCAATAGCAGTGACAAAGTCAATGTGCTGGAAACAACACAGGCACTCCCGCCTGGATATGTGCCACAGCCGGACTGTCTTGTCCATGGAAGAAGACAGCAGGAAGTAATTCTGGTAGGGGAACAGAAGCAGCATGAATTATTGCAGAGATTTATAAAGTACCGAGGAAGTGCTCACAGCTAATGCAAT